GGTGAGGTGGAGGTCGCAGTCGATTTTCTCAGAGAGGACGAGGGAAGCGTAAGAGGCTAGGGCGGAAGATTCGAACGTGAGGAGGTGGTTGGCTATTTCGGGACCGTGATTGGCTGCCTCTGCACGGTAGCCAAAGACCGTCATTGGCTTGCAGTGCCCGCCTAATCACTCTGTCAGTAGAGCCCGGCTCGTTGAAAGGGGACACACCATTCCTTGCGGTCGCGCCCCCACAAAACTCATTCGCCTCCAACATCACAACCTTCACCTCCCTGCCCTCTTTCTCCGCCTCTTTGTACACATTGTAAGCTGTCATACACCCCGTCAAGCCGCTGCCGATGATTATCACGTCAGCGGAGGAGGGGAGGTCGGGGGTGGTACGCGCATGCTGGAGGATGGGGTCTGGGGAAGAGAGCCAGAATGGGTGGGTGCGGTCTGGGACGGGGAGCAGGCGGCCTTCGGTATTGGGGTATAGCGAGGGGAGAGACATGGTGCGCGGATGGGAATGAGAAGTGTACAAGAAATCAGTGTAAGAGCGATAAAGAAGTCGGGGATCCGTCCGTTCGGCAGCAATTGATCGAGAAGCTTATCTGCAAGCGTCGGCTATGGCGATCGGCAATCACTCGGCATTCACGGCTTATTACTGCTTTCGGGACTCCTTAGTACTCGCGTCGACTGTAAGAGATGTTTATGTACAACAGGTGACGCCCCAACATTGTCCATCTGTCTCAAACCCCACAGCCTACGACTCACCATGGCCTCCGGGGACAAGAAGGATGCCCTCACCGCCAATATCCCCTCGTCGCTTGAAGCTACCGTCACCACCGTCGAAATACAAGCACCGCCAGAATCAAGATGGAAAGCCATCTACCGAAGCGCATTCTTCCAGATCTGTGTCGTCTCAGCCCTCGCTTTCTGTGGTAAGTCAAACCCTCAAATCTAGAGGGTTGAGCTGACAATGGGGAAGGCCCTGCTATGGCGGACGCGATTAGTGGATTGGGAGGTGGTGGTCAGGCCACTCCCTATACAGTCAGTGAGTGTGACACTCTAGTATCTGACATCATCTGACGATTGATTCAGATGCCGCTACGTGCGCTTCATACTGCGCTGTCGCTGTGATCTCTCTTTTGGGGGGTCCTATCGCCTCGAGGATGGGTATCAAAGGCATGCTCATTGCCGGTGCTGCAACATTCGCCGTGAATGGATCAGGTGCGTACTTTTCTCATTTTCACACTCTCACCACGCTCTGAAGAAGTCGAACGCATGCTCATCATATACTCAGCGTACTATGTCAACAGCAAGTACGGTGTCCAGTGGTATCTCATTTTTGGCCGGTTCCTCTATGGCGCTGGGTTTGGCTTTTGGTACGTCGCAGAAGCTGCCATCATCTTGTCTTATCCTGAAGAAAATCGACGTGGAAAGTACGTTCCTGAAACATCATCCGCCCTTGCCCGTGCTTATTGCTATCCGCAGATATCTAGCCATCTGGGTTGGATCCCGGAATCTCGGCCAACTCGTCGGCGGCTCCATCTCTCTCGCGCGCAACGCCAAATCGGCCACCGCCGGCGCTATAGCCACATCCACCTACCTCATCTTCATCGCCATCGAAGCCCTCGGCTTCCCCATCTCCTTCCTCATCTCTCCTCCTGAGAAAGTCCACCGTTCTGACGGAGTGCCCATCATCACAGCTTCGAAACAGCCGTGGAAGGTCGAGTTTGTGAATTTGTACAAGGCGGTGGTAGCGCCGAGGATGTTGATGCTCATGCCGATCGCATTCTACTCTTACTTTTACGGCGGTGTCCTCTCCACGTACCTCACCAACTACTTTACCGTCCGTTCCCGTGCCCTTTCCTCCTTTATCGTTCCCTCCGGCATCATCATCTTCACAGCCATCTACGGCCGCTTCTTTCTCGACAACAAACGCTGGACTCAGAGACGCCGGGCACAAGTGGGCTTTGCGGTGTTTATGGTGCCATCGTTTGCGGCTTTTGGGTGGTTGTGCTCCAACCAGGCGAGGTTTTTGGGGATGGAGACCGCACCGAAGTATGATTGGTCGGATGAGGGGTGGGCGAACGCATACGTTCCGTTTTATATCATGCAAGTTTGTGGGTACTTGTGTCAAACCGTACGTCCCCCTTTCCCTTCCTTTTTTTTCCGCCTGCTGATGATTCGAAAAGTATATTTACTGGCTCCTATCCTGCTTCACCGCCTCCGTCTCTACAAACGCCACTACCGGCGGCATTTTCCGCTGCATTGAAGCTGTCGGCCAAGCAGTTTCTTATGGGATCAATTCGAATACCGACTCTAGATTCGTCCCTCTAGGGATAAACTTTGGACTGGCGGGGGTTTGTGTGGTACCGACTTTGATGTTGATACAGCAGGTACCGGTTTGGAGGGAAGATGCTGCCGAACTCGAGGGAGGTGGAGGTGTGGAGAGAGATGTTGAGGAAGATGTCGAGGGGGTGAAGGCTTGAATACGGTTTAGTAAAGAGGACTGGGGCTTGAGAGATAGGTTGGATGATAGTTGTATATGTCATAGCAATAGATACTGTACATCCTGAGTACATCCGAACTTTTCTGACGACTGTGTTTGGTGACGGCCGGCGGCCGGTGGACGGAACCAAAATGTAACGCAAGGAAGAAAATGCATAAACGTTGTTCTATCTATGTGTTCTGTTCAATATTCTCTTATCGACTCTATCGAACCTTTTACGACCAAAAGTCTATCTCTATCTCTGGGGATTCGGCATGAGCGGACTTACCGCCTCACAATGGCCTACTCCGCCTATGACCCCCGCCGCCCTCGCTACTCCTTAGCCCCTCGACCCCCTCCCTGACACCAACGAGAACGACAAGCATATTGGGCAGCAACAACAGACTGTAAAGCGTGCCCGAGGGCCAGGCGGCCGGCCTGCGCGAAGTATGGAAGACTGGTATGCTCGAGGTACGCTCTCACCCCCCCTCTGCAGGCATATCTCTAACAATCTAACAAGGATATGGACAGGATACACAAAGACACAAGGCGAAGACGCCCCCGCCAGATTTCTCTGCATCCCCTGCTCCCAAGCATTCAGCACTCCCCCCTTGTCCAGCCCCAATTCGGTCAACTCGCATGAAAGATCAAGCTTGCACCGTTAGGCTATTGTGCATTGGCAGAGGGAAGAGGGGATGAAGGTGTTGCGGGATATGAAGGAAGGGAAAGGAAGACTCAAGAGAGACATACATGATGGTGGACTGGAAGGGAAACATGAAGAATGGCTGGAGCATGCGGTGAACTTGGCGAATAGTTGTGCGGTGGAGCCGGAAGACCTCGCGGTTATGTCTAGTCTCCTTCTGAGAGCTCACCATTCTCATCATGATTGGGTATCATGCACCGCCATTCACGAGACAAGAAGACGTTCTACCACTGTGCCCCTTTCTCGGCGTTCGACTACTTTTCAACCGTCTCTTGCGATATTGAATCTATCAGCGATCTGTACGCCCACTTGAAGAGCCCGCAACATTTGTCTCTTCGTCCACCCTACCTCCAACAGCGGGCCAAAGTCCTCGACGCAGGCGTCATTCAAGGAGCAAAGGCGCAGAAAGGGAAAGCCGTCGAGATTGTCAAGGGAATACCTCTGACGGCAGATGCGGGGCCTTGCATGTCTGCTGCTCCCTCCGGTCCTTTCAATTCTCCATCCCTAGGCCTCTTTCTCTCAGCCCAGCAATCTGCGGGCTCTCGCCCTGCCGTCTCCGGTCTCTCGCTTTGGCAGAAAGTTCAGCCCGCTTCCACTTGTCTCTCGGCGACACCTCCTATCCCAACTGTCTTGCCCTTCGAAGCGAGCCAGAATCCACCATATCGTCAGAGTCTGGCAAACAATGGAGCATCGTCTCGACCGTTCACCAGGTCGTCTCGCTTGAGGACAATCATACAGCTAGGAGAAAATTTTGAAAATGCTTGGGAGGCTTTTTTGGCGGAATCGTAAAAGTTGGAGATGGTGGTGCTTTGAGATGTGAGCCTTTTCGAGTGCTTGTAGTACTCTACTGACGGATAGTACAGCTCTAGTCTCGAACGCTGGTTAGCGACATACCTCTGGGCGCGCTGTCGTCTTTGGGAGGGGCCGTCGGACGGGAGAGGGGCCGGAACATGAGCCAGGTTCATCTGTCCGATCAGTCGACCCTCTCACCATCGAGCAATTCAATAAGCACTATCAACTCTGGCCGGCGCTCTCGCTCTCTTTGCTGGCGTTCCTCTTCTTCAGCAACATCTCCTGCCTCGCAATTCTGGCAGAAATGGAAAGAATAACGCGCTGGATACTCAAGGACACAGAGCGATGTTTGAACATGGTCTGTGGTACTCCTTGCTTAAAGATCAAAGAAGAGGCAGGCACTGCCTCGTTTTATCAGATAATTGGCTCAGCTTGAGTGATCGACGCCAGATGGTGAACACGGTAGTTTATGGCAGCTTTCTTCGAGTGGTAGACCCGTCAGAGCTTGCCCAGCGCCCTTGTGACGAGCCCGTCGTCATTTCATGACTTTCCGGAGAGTGCGAGGAGCCGACAAGCTGCGAGGTAAGCTGTATCAATCACCATTGCATGAGTTGCATGAGCGAAAGAGCTTGAAGCGATGTGCTTGATGGATGGATTGATGTTGAAGATGAGGTCAGACATGACGATGGTAGTCAGCAGCAGGAGGCGGGGGCGGAAATGTTTGTCGGCGGTCGCGTTCTTCTTCGGTGCTAGACACAAATGATGCGCATTGGAGATAGTGACTGAATGCATTCGAGTAATTGAGATATTGCGCAGATTCCCATCCTGAAGAGCAGGGTGCTATCCAAAAGAGCCGTAGACAATGATGATGAGAGAGCGCGCCCCTCAACGAGAATGTCGCAGCCCCCGCCTGTCAGCAGTAATCGGTCAAGTTTCATGTACTAAACAATCCCCGAATACATGCCATCCCATCCTCCTTGGCTTTCCGAGCCTTCTGAGCCTTCTGAGAGTAGTCTGGAAAGGCAAAAAAAGTAAAGGAGCAGGCAGGACTCGAACCTGCGCGCCTGACGGCATTCGATGAAGGAATTGACGAAATTCTAATCGAACCGAGTAACCACTGTCGCACTACTCCCCTTGTTGCAACTTAGGTTAAGCAAATCCTCACAATGATAAAGAATTAAATCTATCTACGGACGAGAAGAGCTTGGTGATGAACAGAGGTCAATGAGGCGTGAAAAGCCAGGCCTTTCGGCTATCACGAGATAGACGATGCCAGTGACGGAGGTGGGGTTACCGAGGATCCAGCAGACACTTCCCCCCCCCCCCTTTCCTTTCCCCCCTCTCGCTCGGCCGTCGCCGCAATCACGCGCAATTCCCCACTGATGATGTCGACTCGCGATTATCAAACAATCCTTCACTGATGTAAACCGGGAGAGAGTATGAGGACTCGCGCGAGACCGGCTTCAACAGGTTCGGCCCCTTTCGACGGCGCAACCTCTGGCCCGCTCGACGACCAGCAAAGCTGGCAGCTGGCGCGCCCTCAAGGATATCGAGGAGACTTCTCCGAAGGCGGGTCCACGGCTATCGATGACAGCCACTTCCTCCGATCCTCCCGAGCCTTCATCTATCCTTGACTCGACCATTTCCTCTTCTGTATCGCTTGAGATACAGCAAGGCGAAGTGCATCAAACTCGCAAACGACCGAGATCCTTGACTCCGCCTCCCTCCCTGCAGAACAAAACGAGTGGTTTCACGACACCGATTTTCCCGTCTCCTATCCCATCTCCCGCCAGTGGCCAAGCCCCGGACCTGCTCGTTGGCAATGATTGGGATAGGCAGCTGGTGTCGAAGCGTAATCGAAAGGTTGAGAATTCTCTGCGAGCGGAAAACTGGCATCCGCTTCCTGGGTGGAGTTTTCCAAGGATAGATGCAGGGCGTTGAGAGTCTGCCGTTTCTATCGGCCCCCCGGAGGCTCCACCAACCAAGAGCCCCTCTTGCAGTCACACAGTCTGCGGGGCCTAGCCCCTATGTTTCGGCGCAACATACATATCAGCCTTCTACGTCCCTCACGCCACCTTCTATCCCGACGGTCTCCTCTGCTGTATCCCTCGAAATGTGGCAAGCTGAATTGACTGACGAGAACCTGCAAGGCAACGAAGTGTTAGCTTCATCATCCACCCGGCTATCGCGACTCCAGATTGTCAAACAGCTTGGGGACAATCTCGAAAAGGACTGGAAAGCGTTTTTGGCCGATTCATGAAGTCGAGTCGATCGCACATCTATTCGTGAACCTCTTCCAATCTTGGAAGTATCCTTACTCATCCGCAGTATAGTGTTACTTGCCAACAAAGAGAGGCTCGGGATCTGATAGGGGACCTGTCTGGCGTCGAAAACATCAAGAGGTGCGCTCGTGCTGCTAGTCTTGAGGCGGCAGATGACTGGTGTGGATATGTCAGAGGCCAGAGTCTTTGGGCGAGGGACTAGGTTCTATATTTGGTCTGACATCTGCTTGAGACTCTGTCTGGAAATGCAAGTATGCTTCGCGTCTATCGAGCTATTTAAAGCAGCAGTCAAGGTCGTCGATTACGATCCGGGGTGTGTAGCTGATAGGCGGCACATATCCAGCCTGATGTGAAACGGCCCTCATCAAGACCTTCTATATTACTATCATTCACATCTTGCATAGCTCCTTCTTCCGTTTGCTACCTTCAGTCAAACCAAAGCAAGCCGAACAACTACCCTATTGGCCCTCGCCTCGATCTATCTAGCCTTTTTGGGAAAAGCGGCAGGCAAGCGTCAATTCTCGTTGAGAACACATTCTTTGCTGACATGCGTGTCCCCATATACAGAACAGCCCACCATGCGTCCCGTCGCCACAGACGACCCACTCGACACCGTATCCCCACCCAACGTACACTCGGGTCCTCTGGCTTTACCACGCAAAGACACAAGTTTGAGCAGCTCATCCACCGCCTCGATGCTGAGCTTTTGGCACGTGGAGAAGGGAGTCTGGATCCGTACAAGCTTTTGCGGATTTTGAGACGTCAAGTTAGCGCAGTGGGGAATAGCAAGTATGTTTCTGCTAATTTCGGGGCTTGTACGCTTGAATATGTGGTAAGTGTCATTTGGTTTGACGTCTCGCTGGCCAGAACTGATGCTTCATGCGGAGTAAAGGCAGGAATGTATACCTTCATTGCCTCATATCTTTGTGAAGAGATTCTGGACATAATCAAAAAGTCCAATTCTATCTCGCCGGCAAGATATCTACTACTTCATAACGTTATCGAGTGAGTTGTGCAGACGCGCGGGCAATATTGAAGACTATCTGACTTCGTATGGAAAGCGAAGGAGATGTGGTGATCAGCACCCTCTCTCGTCTTCTGGTTGAAAAGCTCAGCCTTGGAGGTATTGATACCAAGTGGAAGACTGAGGACGTGCATGATCCGCTTGTGCATCTCGTTACGAGGTTGAGCAACTTGGTGGACACTTGGGAGGTGAGTGTCATCACACTTGGTCCCTCCATACGTACCTAGATTGGTGATATGAGCGCTTTTAATGATGTGACATGTAGGTGCCAAATGATGCTTCACAAGACTCATTGTGGGTTTCACAGCTGAATCGGCGATGGGACCTGTATATCGCGAAGGCGACGAAAAAGAACGGATTAACCAAATCGAGTCGGTGTAGTGTTCAGTAGCTCTTAAGTGAAATATGATGATACTGGGATTGTAGATTGTGACGTATACATATCAGACTCAAGTGCAAGCTCTTGCCCGCCCACCAGCGCCTCCTCGAGTCCCTTGTTGAGTGATCCAGTTTGATCCCGCCCTCCTTTTGCCCTCAGCCACCGTGGGAAACTTTGACGCTTCTGCAAGCGAGATGAGACTTGCGGGGAGCCAGCGTCAGCAGTTCATGATTGTAAGATTACTCACCTTTATAGACTACATGCGCATCTGCTCTGAAGGAATTGCCCATTGAAGGGGGAGCAACAGCCCCAGGTACGCCCCAGCATGCTCTCATCCGATCATGCAAGCCCGAATCCCGACAAGCAGGGTATGTGCGTGACTGCGTTTTCTTTTCTTGGTCAGAGGCGGGCGCATTGAAGCCTGGTACCGCCCCTGCTTACCTCTACAGCTATAGCAGCTCAAACTACGCTCCATGGAGAGCCTGACAGTTTCCCCTACGCCCCTGCAACGATTCTCTCAAAACGTATAGCTTACCCTGGCGCCGGAACTTCTAGGGAAAAGGTGACTTGCGCACTGGGCGTGTGCCATGTTGGATGACAGAATCTACGCCTCAAACACTCACATTTCCACAAAACACCTTTCGATTCGCATCCTCATCTTGACATTGTACTTTCATCTTCTCTTGTATTCACGACTTTTACGACCTCTTACGACGATGGACATCATCCACCGCCTCAATCCCTTCCACCGCCCCACCTCTTCCCTCTCCCGGAACACCCCCATCCCATTCTCTTCTCGCGGTCGACCATCCTCATCTCTTGAACACGGCTACCCCACCCACGACACTACGCCCCACCCTTCCTTCAACAGTGGCCACCACCCTTCTGCTGAGCTGGGACGACATTCATTCACTCCTACCCCGGTACTTCATACACCGAACGAGGAGGATGGAGAAGTTGCCCAGCGCAAACTGGGACACCGAAGGTCCCACTCCCTTCTACGCAACCTGACTTCCCACCCGAGTCTGTCGGCGCTGAAAGCAAAGTCGACCCGGGGCAAGAAAACGGCAAACAGGAGAAAGGGTATACCACTCATGCCGACCGACACGAATGAGCAGTACCCGGCTCCTGTAGACTTTGGTGAGAATGAGAGGCCGGGGACGCCGAGCAAAATGAGGAAAGGGAGCTTGAAGGGAAGCAAAAGTCTGCCTAGAGACCTGAGGTTCAGCGGCGAGTTTCAAGGTGAGCTAGATGATCTTGTGGGATGTCCAAAGCTGACTGTAAGCACAGCTTTAGATTCGATCCCGCCTTTGCCGGAAACTTCTACATATAACACGAGCGCTCTGACCCGCTCTCACTCCAGTGCCGCTACCTCTCGATCAGGCGGCACCTCACCCTTCAAGAAGCGAAACACAATCCGCCGCAAGCCTGCGCCGTCTCAACCGCCCGAAGTCACCGTCTACCATGACTGCTCGAGTACGCCGGAGAGTATGAGAGTGAGGATGCGGTTCGAAGTGGATCTGAACTCGAACTACTCTGGCTCGCCGTCACGGAGGAGGCATAAGAGCTTTGACGTGAGGAGCTCGTCGCCGAGTGCCGACCGTGGCATCAGGGATCAATCTGCTCGTGAGTCGTTTCCTCTCTGTCAAGTTCATGCTCACCTATTCCAGGCCACCTTTCCTCCCCACCCCGAGCACAAGCAGCGCCAATCGGAGACTCTTCCTGGGATTTTTCGGACTACTCCTTTCCCCGCACTCGACAGCATCCTCATCCTGTTCCTATAATACAAGAGCAGCGTGTCTTTGCTAGATCCGTATACGCCGACTCTACTACATTCTTTTCGCCTGGCGAAATCGTTCCCGTAACGACGTCAGGGAGGACCGCCATGTTCGACGAGCCAGAGGACCTGGACCCATTCGGCAGTGGCGAGGAGAGTATGCTGGAGACACCACGTAAGAAGAAGTGCGCGACGGACCTTGGAGTTTCGGCGGAGCATGGAAATGTAAAAAGTAGTCGTGAGTAGCTTTTGTGCATCTTCGGGAGCCATACTGAGGTTCAACAGCAGCTCGTGTATTCTCTCGCGACATGTACGGCTCACCATCCGAAGACTCCACCAGCAGCACCTCCCACTCTACACAACTCCTCTCTCCCAGCCTCGAGCGCATTGGCACTCATCGCCGCGCCGAGTCCAGCCCGTCCCCTGGCCGTAAATCTCGAGAAGCATTCTCGCGTGCTGCCAAACGCTCTTCTTCTCCCTTTGAAATCAAACTCTCATCCCATGTAACTAGACGCATGTCTCTGGATGCGTTCGGTACCCCAACCGCTCCCACCTTCAACGAACCACCCGGAAAGCAGGAATGGGTCGAGAAGCTTGCCGAGTTTGACGAAAGCTTTGAGGAGGAGGTCAGCTGGGAAGAGGGCCAGCTGAGCTTGCAGGATCGTTTCGA